GAGCTGGCAGAGTGCAATAAAAGTACCATAACCCCTACAGAGATTCCTCTGGTCCATGAGGAATTGCTTTTATACAACTATTTTCTTATATTACTTCTAAGCAACTGCACATTTGGACAAATAATAATTTAGTATATTAAGTGGCAACAAAAATCAAGCAATAAACAAATAATGTTCTAAATGGTAAACAAAATCACCCTAATATGTTCGTAGGAAAAGTATTCTATTTATAATTTTTATTCATCCATATTTCCTGAAAGTCACTTTGTCAAAAAGTATAGCACTGTAGCACTATCCTCCCATTGTTCATCAATTTGCTCGAGCGGGTACCAGTAACATTTCCATCGCGAGACTTGTTGTTACTGTTTTTGGCATATCGAATACTCCATGGGGAGCTTGCCTGGCTCTGCTGTGTGGACAGGATACTTTTGGTAGCTTGCTTGGCTCTCCAAGAGGGATGGAGAAATCAAGCCTGGGTCAGCCTTGTGCAAGGCAAATGCCCTACCCACTGTGCTATCGCTCCAGCCCAACCTTAACATATAAGTACATAAAATTTTGTTGCTGCTCAACATATTTTAACTACCACCGTAAAATAATTAAATAATTATATCCCCAAACAAATGTTGATGAGCAAGCAGGTACTCTGTGCTGTAGCCCGTGATCTAGAGTAAGTCACCATAAATAGTAATTTATCTGAAAAATGATGAGATTGAATAAAGTACCCCTCAAGTTCCTCTAAAAGTTTTCTCAACTTGATGGTAATTAAAAAAACTAGAAAACTTTTACAGCATGTTAAAATATTTAGAAATCTAATTCTACCTTTTTCTTATCCTTCTTCCACTGGTTTTAGTTCTACCTCCAAATATGTATCATGCTAAATTACAGATTTCTGTTAAATCTTTTAAAGATTTACTCTTGTCTTATCTATACCTCTGGAGACTTGATGATGAGAACATTATCCAAGAGTAAAGCACTGATTTTAATAGTACTTAGTAAATAATCTATTCAGGGAGTACCCTTGTCTATCTAAAGGATTAAGTCTTTCTTTGCAATAAAGTATCTGAGGAAGAAGTTATTTTAAGATATAAGAAAATTTGTAGAAGGAATATGAAAGAATGTTTGAGCAATATTTAATAAGTGTGGATCTACCATAGGGAAAGGCTATGAATATAAATATTGACAGAAGTTTGTAAAAAGAATATGCTAGTAGAATAGAGATAAGTGTGGCTAATTATTCTCTCATATATAATACAAAGGGTCCCACAGAATAAGCAAAAACACCTAGATAATTGTTTAATAAAGAAAAATAAGTAAAGTCAATCAGAATCTTAAGACAATTTCTGGATAGTAACTGAAAACTATGCACAGTGTTTTGAGAAAATAAAGCAGAGCAAAGAACAGTCGTGTTACTTACGGTACTTATAGAGATATATGCCAGAAAAGAGATGACAAATACTATATATCTGATGAACTGATACAAAGTTAAAAACTTCCCTTTGTTGAGGAAGAAATGCTGCTTATTTAAATAGGGAAAATAACACTTCTTAGAGAACAAAATGAGAGCTTGATACTTAACACAGAGGTATGTATGCATTGCACATATACAGCCTTAGAAGAGAAGTGGAAGGGGAAGTGTGAGAGTGAAGAAAGAAAGAAAAAAGAGAAAAGAAGGGGAAAATAAGAAAAAGGACGGGAAGGGAAAGGAGGGGAAGGGAGGGGAGGAAAGAGAGGAGAGGAAAAGGAAGTGAGGGAAGGGGAAAGGAAGGGAGGGTAGCAGAGAGGGAGTAAGAGAGGGAGAGGGAAGGGGAGGGAAAGGAGAAAAGAAGGCAGGGGAGTGAAGGAAAAAGGAGGGGAAGGAAAGGAAAAGGAAGGGCAGTGGCCAGAGTGATAATAGAGCAGGCAGAGTACTTGCCTTGCACCTGGTAGTCCCCCTTTCTCCCCCCCAAAAGAAAGACAGAGTAAGACTTAAAAATACCTTACCAAAAAGAGTCTTCAATTTATCCAATTGGAAAATTTTAGACATAAAAAATATTTTATGTAAAAATCAATTACCTTAACCCATCAGTGCAAAAAGACTTTAAAAACCAAATGTTTCATCAATAAGACATTGTAAAGAGTATTACAGAGCTGTCATTAAAGTATAAGGTATATGTATACCACTTTATTAAATGTAAAGAAGTGGGAAACACTAAAAATAGCAAGAGCTCAATATATTATTAATCAACAAATATATCCTTATAGATCTAGGCTCAAAGTATTTCTGGAAAAATATAAAGTATTTGGTAACTGTTTATTTCTATGTAAAGGGACTAGAGAAATGAAATCTAAGATGGGAAGATTCTTTTTCACTATAAATGTTTTTCTATAACATAAATGATTTACCATGTGTTACTATTGATGATACTTAAATAATAAAAGATATTTCTCAAGGTTTTATACTACTAAATATTACCTTTTAAAATATTCTGCAAAGCACTGGGTATCTTTAAGTGCCTTGAAAAATGACAAGGAGGGAAGTGGCAGAGATATGGCTCTAGCTCACATGGTTCCTACTTGTACAAAAAGATCTCTTATCTGCTTCACATTTTGGGATTCTGTGAGAGACTTTGTTTGAAGGCACCCTTTAACTACTGTTGTTAAAACTTCGTAAAACTATTGTTCTAAAAGCTGTCTCACATCACTTAGTAACATAGCCACGTGAGTAACATGGGCAAAGCTATTTATTCTGGCTTTGACATGTTCCTCCTCAACTTTTAAGTAGGAGGCAACTTTTACCCATCCCTGGTTTTTCATTCCTAATTTCGAACCATTGCACATAGCATCATCATTAAACTGCATTTCCAACTGGAGGACATCTTCTAAATTACACATAGCAAATACCTCAACCCTGGCAAACTGAATTAAACATATGCTCTAGGAGACTGCTAAGTGATACATCTTATCATCTACCTATTGTCCCTTTTTCAATTGCCCCTTGGATACTCAGTTCTCTTTTGTGTTTGAGCCAAAGGAAAAAGCAACAAGAATAAGAACAAAACAAGGTAACTGTAGAATAGACTACTTGGTGCTCGCTAGAATTTACAACTGTAGCACTGTCCTCCCAATGTTCATGGAGGCACCAGTAACATCTCCATTGTGAGACTTGTTACTGATTTTGGCATATGGAATACACCAAGGGGAGCTTGCCACCTAAGGAAAACAATTCTTTTCTTTTAGAAAATCTAAAGCCTAACAAACGTCATATGCCCAATCTACCCACCCATCTAATTAAAATGGTTGAGATGGCCTTCTTCAGTTCCTTAAATTTATTATCTATTCAGACCTTGAGAGTAATTTTAATAGTTCTACTCTTTTGGTCATTTCTGCATTCCTACTCTATTACTTATCAGTTACCCTACATTTTTAAAACAACCAGGAAACTCAAAAATTTTTTATTTTGTTTTGGGGCCATACCTGGCTGTGCCTAGGTGGAGAATTCCTTGCTCTCTAAACAGGGATCGTTCCTGGTGGTGCCTGGGGAACCATACTGAGTGCCAGGGATTGAACCCAGGTTCGCTGCATGCAAGGCAAGCACCCAACCCACTCTACTATCTCACTTCTGTTTTGCTATCTCCTATTTTCTATTTTTCTTTTCTTTTTCCCCCTACTCTAAGAGTAAGAAAAAAATACTTCTACTTAACTAAAGATAAAATTGCCTACAAATACAGTGTCCTTTTTTGATCTGCTGTCACAATCTTACTCACTACTGTCTAAATATATATCTATCATGCATCGATAGCATGATGTTAGTGCTGGGATCCCACGGTCAAGACAAGGTCTGACAGCAAAGTAAAATTCAATGAAATGAGTCTGTGGCTCAGCAAGAAAGGAAGATTATGAACACTTTAAAATGGGAGGCCAATCATAAAACATCTCCATCTGCAACATAAAGATTTGATGTCCGTCCTCTTCATATGCCTAATCTCCTGACCCACCATAACTTCTAAGAAGTTAACTCAAAATTAAACATCACTGGAATGGACAGTGGTTCAGTAGTAGAGGACCTGGTTTGAATATATAAGAATCCAAGTTCAATTTAAGGTATCACCACAACAAATATAACATTATCAAAAAGAATTAACATTATATCAACTATTCTACTACTATTAACAATATTATTACTGTACAGACTCCTAAAATGTCATCATCATATTATTGAAAGCCTAGTATTTATACCAGAAACTATCATGTGAAGGTATAAACTCTTAAGTATTATCATCGTTCATAATAGCAATGATAATTTTCAAACGAGGGAAGACAGAAACAGAAAAATAGCCTGCAATAGTTAAAGGATATTAAGTTTCAAAGACAGAAACCTGGAACACTTTTAGAACCACTGAGAGCTATAGAGCTCATCCCTTCTAAAATATTTCATTGTGAACTATAATAGAACAAAAACAACATATGTTGTTTGACCATTATAATTTTAAATACTTCAAGAAGTAAGGGAAAAAGCATATCAGGTACTTGAGCATTTTGTTATGATATAGAAAATATTTTTTAAAAAAAACCCACAAAACTGGAGTCTGGAGGGATAGTCCAGTGGGCAGGGCACTTGCCTTGCATGCAGCTTACCCAAGTTCAATATCCAGCACTCCATACAGTCACTTTAGCCTGTCAGTTGTTATTCCTGAGCCTAGAGTTAGGAGTAAGCTCTAAGCACAGCTAAGTGTGCCTCCCACTGCCCCCTATTCCCTCCCCCCCAAAAAAGAACCCCAAACAAACATAAAACTTATCAGACTCAATATAAAACCAAAGAATGGAAATCATGGCCTTTTAGGAACTTCTAGTTTAAAAATACCAAGTATCTCAAAAGTAGTCTGATTCAACTGTTCTGTTCGCTTTCTTTTAAGTAACCTATACAAACACCTAGTGAAAGAAAAACTTTACTAAAATTCTCATAGGGTTGATGACCCAATCAAAATCTACAAACAATTTTTCAAAAAGTAAAAAAAAAAACCAGGGGAAAGTGTGAATGTGTTTCCCCACTACCACAAATTATGCAGTTGAGCTTTTGACATTTGGGTAAGTCACAGGGGTCAGCACATCCAGAGAGCAATGGATAAGTTTTGCCCTGGGAAAACCACTTTTGTGTTCATGGTATATCCCCTGCCAGGTAAGAATTAGAAAAAATTTATACAGCTCAATAAGATATAAATAAACTGAAATAATTATTCAAGTGAGTATCATGTAAACATTAAATATTTATTTTCTAATACTAACACAGAAGACATACATGATATAATGTTGGTCAGAAAAAAAAACATAGATGACAAACATATTATAATCCAATTTTCTGTTTGTTTTTGTTCCTCACCCGGTGGTGCTTAAGGGCTATTCCTGTAACTGTGCTCAGCCTGTGTTCTGTAACATCACAGTCTATGACACACCCTTGTGCTGTATTTCTTTCAAGCAAGTTGTTTGTGGAGGGGTGTTTCAAAACCAGAAAATTTTCATGCTCTGAGCACTAAGGAGAAGGAATGTTGTTATGAAGGACGATGCTTTCACAGAACTATCCCAGCCTCTCCATCTCCACAAATTATTATTTCTTGCTACTCAACATATCACATAAATTGGCTACTGACAAAAGAATATGGTAGGAATAAACACTTGAGTGACAAAAAATAAAAGAAAGCCCCAATGATGAAATATAAGATATAAAAGAGAAACAATGGAACTTTTAAAATTGAACACAAAAATAATAAAAACTCACTGAGTGGACATAACAAGAGTGGTAATATTCAAATCAGTGAACTTGAAAATAAACAGAAATTATGTAATGAATCAATAGTAAATATTTAGTAACTTTGACAAATATTTAAATAATTAAGCAAAACAAATATTGAAAGCCACAAAGAAAGCCTTAGGGACACGTGGGTAAGTCAAGACATCTACTTTCTAATATCATGTTTTATTCACAGGACTGAAGATGTGATGTTAAAACACTATACTAAAAATTGCTGGCAGAAGTGGGGTTGGAGAGATAATATGGCAGGTAGGACAACTGTCTCACACAGCTGTCCTGAGTTTGATCTTTGGCAACCCAGATGGTCCCTGACCCAACCAGAAGTGATGCCTTGAGCACAAACCCAGAAGTAAGCACTGGTAGGTGTAGCCCAAACATACACAAAAATTTTTTTGAAGAAATAAAACCTGCAAATACCAATTTTGGTGAAAATCATAATTATACATATTCAAAAAGCAGAGCAAACCCAAAGCTAGATAAACGCAGGGAAAATATGTAGTTCCACACAAAAAGTGGTACTTTTATGAAATGAATTTGAGTTTTCAGAGTTTCCAGATGAAAAACCACCAGAAAATTAACCAGGCATTATACTGTATCATTTCTCTGCTTATTCTTTCAGTCATCAAAAACCATGAGGCACAGCCACAGTCAGCCTGTGTTCTGTAACATCACAGTCTATGACACACCCTTGTGCTGTATTTCTTTCAAGCAAGTTGTTTGTGGAGGGGTGTTTCAAAACCAGAAAATTTTCATGCTCTGAGCACTAAGGAGAAGGAATGTTGTTATGAAGGACGATGCTTTCACAGAACTATCCCAGGATAAAGTACTACTGTGGTGACCTCACTTGTCATAATAACACCAGTGTCAAATCCCTCTATGGGGAGAAATTGGTTGATGAGAAATTGATTTTGAAGCACACCAAGTGCCTGGCATCTTGTCCAAGGCAATTGATGAAGCAAATCCAAATGGTTCCTAGGATGTCATCTGCAGAGCCAAGAATGAGTGCTGGATGACAAACCTGGTGTTTTTTTCTTGCAAGATGAAAGATGGCATGAACACTGTGGAAGCTATGCAGTGCTCTGGGTTCAGGAGTGGTGAGACCGCAAGAAGATAATGATTTCCATCTGTAGACAGTCAGGTAAATGTGACTTGCCTTTTAAGCACTAGACCATTACTTTTGTAGCTCAGAAGAGCACCCTGTCACTCTCATGTGTTCAAAATATTCTATTATCCTTCTGCTTTCCTTGTGTTTCTTTGGATTTGAAATTTTCCTGATCTCTAAGCTGGCTAGCAACTTAGGCATGGTTATAAAATTGAAAAGGCAACAACTATAACGTCTTTGAAAAACAGATCTTACACTTATTGCAATAACTATCATTTTACTTTGATGTTTATTATTTTACTATAAATATGATAAAAATCCAAAAATGCTAATATTTAGAATACCGCAAAACCCACACTTAATAGTTTTTTGTGTATAATAGCACTGTAGCACTGTCCTCCTGTTGTTCATCTATTTGCTCAAGCAGGCACCAGTAACGTCTCCATCGTGAGACTTTTTGTTACTGTTTTTGGCATACTGAATATACCACGGGGAGCTTTCCAGGCTCTGCCGTGCGGGTGGGATACTCTTAGTAGCTTGCCGTGCTCTCCAAGAGGGATGGAGGAACAGAAGCCGGGTTGGCCGTGTACAAGGCAAACACTACCCACTGTGCTATTGTTTGTGTATAAGAAATTTTTCGTGAGAAGGGGTTGGGTCATGCACCCTGACAGTGCTGGTGGAATCATATTTATGCAATGCCATAGATCAGACTGGGATTGACTGCACTGCAAAAGAAGCACTTTTCCCTTTGTTCTTTCTGGCCCAATATTTAAAATTCTCAACAAAAAAATCCCAAATCAAATCAAAGAATAATTGAAATAGAATACTAGTCAAGTGTATCTTGGTATACTTTCAAGTGTTAGAGAAGAGCTGAAATATATTACACACATTTCCTTTACCTCTATTATTTTTTCCCCATAGGAGTCATATACAGTGATACTCTGTGGCTATAAGAGCTACTGGGCAGCTGTTGGAGGGAATCAGCGTCTGGGACCAAATTCCTTCCATACACTAGGCATGCGTGCCTCAGTTCTTATTTTAAAAGGAAATGATACTTCAGAAGTTCAAAATAGCTATCTACTCTGTCCAACATCTTTGGAATTTCCTAACACGTGACCCATCCAATGTAAGCCACATGTTAGTGCTATAGTTTTATCTTATTCTAACTTCTTTAAATATTATAATAAAAAGTATATACGAGGGATGGGCACTTGATCATTGTATAACTGAAACCCAAGCACAAAAATTTGTAAGTCTACAACTGTACTTCAGGGTGTTTCACTAATAAAAATTTTAAAAAATTTAAAATTTAAAAAACTGAGGTAATCATATTGCTGTAAGATTTCTAACATACCACAACAGAAGTGAATCTTTAATGTCTTTAATAATCACTTCTTGCTGGAGATTAACCACTCCTACTATCCTAATTCTTTTCAGCATTTTTCTTTACCTGAACTGTCATTTAATTTTTGTTTTCTCTTTCTCTTTTTAAAAATCTGTCCTCTAGAAAGGGTTCTTGTGAAGGCAAATACTCAACTCTCTCATCTTTCTCCACAATAACAATAAAACTAAGCCCAAACTCCTTAAGGATAACCTTTTAGACTTTCTAACTTCTAGAAACTTTCCCTCTTGGTATATCCCAAACTCAGCTATTATTATTATTATTACCTACTTTTTTTTACATCACACAGGACTCAAACTTTGCCTGAGTTCCAATTGTGCCCTGGTCTCCACAAAATTCATCGTCTCTGGCTCATATCCAAGTATCAAGTCATTCTTGTTCTTCAAATTTCAGAAGAAAACGACGTGCTATGAAAGCTTACCTAACCTGACTGATACAAGTTGAAAGCCATTGATTGCAAATCTTTTAATGCTATGGCACTCAAAAATTTTTTTAAAAACAACAACAACAACAACAACTCAGAAGCTTGAAAATCTATAATCTTTAAACAGTATCAATCACTATCAAAATTATGAATTTGCATAAATCTGACTAGCAATCTTTAAGCAATAGGGATAGAAATCCTGTTTGTAGCCTCTTGCTTTTCCTGCTAAACTTCAGTCATTTGCCTCAAACAGCTTCTTACTAAATGTAGGTATATTCTAAAGAAATACATTTTAATATTTAAGATGCATTAATCCATCTTAAAAAAAGAAAACCAAAGTTGTGACCACAAAAAAGCAATGCTAAAGCATTAAATTGTAAAATCAAATATTAGAATCAGTATTATAGAAAATCTTTTTAATCATAGGAAATATTAAAATCATATTTTAAGATGTTAACAAAGAAATTATAAGTGATCCTGGAATCACCATAAAACTTTAAATAGTACTAACATATTTTAATAATTCTAATATAATCATTAAAAAGTACTGATCAAAATAATGGGAAATTTAGGAGCAGGCAAGATAATAAGTAAGGTGCTTGTCTTCAATGAAGCCAACCCAGATTCAAATCTCTGGCCCAAAATATGGTCCCCTGAGCCCCACCAGGAGTGATCCCTGAAGGAAAAGCCCTGAGAACAGCTGAGTGTGGTCCCCAAACCAACAAATAAATAGAGCTAAATTCATATTTATTTAAAAAATCATAAATCTAAGAGTTACTTGTTTAGAATGGTGAAGAAAAATAATCTTGGTCCCATTTTATTGTGTTCTCTCTAAAGGAAAGTAGGTGGTCCAATAAAAACTACTAGAAATAATGAGTTTGGTAAAGAAGCAGAATACAAAATCAAATATAATACCACATTTATACACCGAAACAATGTATTAGAGAAAAGGGAAATTGAGAATACAACCTAACTTACTTTTGCAGCAAAAAATAAATAAATAAAATATCTAAGAATAAACCTTTAAAAAGGTGAAAGGCTGATAGAATAAAAAAATTAAGGACACTGCTAAATTAAGTACAAAAAATCCCAAAGAAGTAGAAAAATATTACACGTTTTTAGGTGAAAAATTTAAATGTTAATAAAATAGTCATTTTTTAAGGGCTGGAGAGATGAGTAGGTGAGAAGGGCACATGCCTTGCACACAATCAATCCAGGTTTGGGCCCAGGTCTCCCAAGCTCTGCCAAGAGTGATTCCTGAGTACAGAGGCCAGAAATAAGCTCGGAACAATGCTGGAACTGGCCCCCAAATATTCATATAAAAAACAATCTACAGACTCAACTTTTTCAAAATACCAATGACATATTTCAGAGAAATAAACCAAGTAATTGTAAATGGTATATAGTAGCATAAAAGGTTCCAGAAAATAAAAGCAGTTTCATATAAAAG